CTCTTCCTCTCTCCCTCCCACTCTATCTGTACAAAAAATGGAAAAATGTCCTCGGGTGAGGATAAAAAAAAAAAATTTAAACAACAAAATTTAAAAAAAAAAAAAGAAAAAAGAAATGTAGAACGTAAGACCCAAGCAGATTGGATGGAATCAAAAGTGGTTTCTCGGTGGCCAGTGAGCTGGCTCTGGGGAGGGAAGAGGAGGGAGGGTAATATGCAGGGTCTGGAACAGGTAGGAAGCTACTTGCTGTAGAAATGGGTAGTCCTGGATGACAGTGGATGCCGGGGTTGGGGGCACAGAGCCCCCCCGCCCCCGCCTCTGGTGGCTAAATTCACATAAGCATGGCTTTTCTGCCTCAATTTTTCCACCACCACTTGCAGGTATTATTATGAGTAGATAATCAGAAGGTGAACCAGTGACCCAAGGCCTCTGGGCAGGAGGCCCTGGCCCCTGGTCTCATGGAAACTCCCCTAGGGGTGCTTCAGTACTGAGCTAGCAGAGCGCCCGGCACTGGATCAAGCCCCTGCTCCCTCCTCGCTGCTCAGGTTGTCCCCTCAGCACAGGCCTAGCGAATGGAGAAAGGCTGCTTTCCTCAGGACTTCTTTTTTATCCTCACCCAAGGACAGTTTTGCATTTATCTTCAGATAGAGCGGGAGGGAGAGAGGGAGGAAGAGAGAGAAAGAAACATTAATGTGAGAGAGACACATCGAGTGAGTGCCACCCACACAACCCCAACTGGGGCCGGGGACAAACTGCAACCGAGGTATGTGCCCTTAGTACGTGAAACCGAACGCGGGACTCTCGGGTCCGCGGGCCGATGCTCTAACCACTGAGCAAATCCGGCCAGGGCTCCTCACGTCTTCTTCATCCTAAATTGTGGCATGAGCCCTTCTATCAACTTTCCCCTAGGCTGTGACCATTGGAAAGACCTCACCGAAGGCTAGAGTTTATTATCCAGAGAAGTCTAGAGGCAAGTCTTCAATTCAACTCTTCCGAGAGCCCACAGACCCAGGCCATTCTCCTGGGAGCTGCTCCCAATGTCCGCCGGGGGAATCTCTCAGCCCACCTCACACAGAGTGGGGTCCAGTGCCCCACTCCCCTTTCTGTGCTGGGATTTGCCACTTCCCAGGTTGATTGATGGTAGAATTGTTATAGGCAGTTAGACATGAGCAGAGGAAGGACAATGGGCCAGGTACAGAAACTCACCAGAGCAGAAAGCCCTGAATGCCTAGCAAGGGGCAAAACTGGGAAAACAAGAACCTCACCCCCAGGATAACCTTTCTTCCCCTATCATATTGCAGGCCATGCGGTTTAGACCCCCTGACCTTTTCCTCCCTAAAGATAACATCTAGGCCTCAGTTGTAGTTTAGCTCCAGGCCCAGAAAAGCAGAAAATCCAGACAAATAACCCCATGGCTGCATCAGGACCATCTGCACTGAAATGATGCTCTGCCTTGGTGCCAACTAATCAGCAGAGATCGCTGACCCTGAAAGAGCACACCTGGAAAGCTGATGACTATTCCATTGAGACTCTCCCCTGAGACCTCCCCTAAGATTCCCACCTGCAAGAGAGATAAATACCCTCAACACAGAGGACCCAGCACAGGCCCTCTCCCTAGGGGAGCACACCCTGCCATTCCCTTCCCCCTTCTTCCCTCTAAGGGACCCTGTAAGACTTGCAACCAGGGGAGCAGTGGGCAGTGGCAGCTAGTCCAGGGCTAACCCACTGAACCTGTCTCCAAGGCCTCCTTTTCTCTGACGTCTCAGTGAGCCAAAGCAGCCCCGCCTAGGCTCTCCTATTGCTCCTTCTGTGCCCTTCCTTGTTTCTCTATCCTAAGTGTGTTTTTGCTGCAGCCAATATATACTTGCTTCCTTCGCTACACTTGGTCTCTTGATTTAAATCTTTCCTTCAAGAAGACAAGAACCAAGGTCTCATCGTCCTACCAGTAACAGAATGTCCAGTTTCTCTAGGAAAGAAAACCTCAGCCCCTACCCAGAGCTCTCAAAACCAGTCATCAGAGGACCCCACTTGTTTTCCAGAATCTGTGTTATTCACTAGGTCAACAATAACACTACATGTAGGTTATTAAAGTCCAGCTCCGGTTGAGCCAGCTCAGTCCAGTCCTTTGCAGCTATCTCCTGCTTCAGAAAAAGGTGGGATCTATATACATCCTTCTGTCCAGCTTCAGAAGCCCAGCCCCCAGTCTCCGGTGAGCAGCTGCTTGGATGAGAACACAGTCTGTCTCTTACATACACACACTATTTGTGAGACTAAGTCTTCATTTTCAGGACTAGTGCAGCTATGCTTTTTGTGAAAGAAACATAATGGCAGAGATGCAGCAATGCTAGCTCTCTATAAAATGATCCTCTGTAATGACAAGCTTCTTCTCCCCCCCCCCCTTTACTGATTTTAGAGAGAGAGGAAGTGAGGGGGAGAGAGAAACATCAATGAGAGAGGACATCGATTGGCTGCCTCCTGCATGCCCCTCACTGGGGATCAGGCCCACAACCTGGACATGTGTCCTGACCGGAATCGAACTGGCAAACTCTTGGTGCATGGGTCAACATTCAACCACTGAGCCACACTGGCCAGACATGACAAGTTTCTTGGGCTCCTTGGGGCTGTAGCACCTCCCAACTGTTCCAGAAGAGGGCCCATAGGTAATTTCCCCGCTCTGGGCACACGGCCAGTTTTTATTTCCTGGGCCCTCCTGATTATATGAGACCATGTGACTAATTCTGGCCAATAAGTTGTGAGCAGGAGGAAAATGGATCAATTCTGGGCTGAGACAGTGAATTGCTGGATGAGACTCTCCCAGTTCTGCTTTCCCTGCCTTTGCTGCTGAGGAAGCCTGTGTTGCAATAAAGCTTCTGTCAGTCTGAGTCCCAACCTATGTTGTATATGTAGTAAGGAATTTGGGATTTGGGGGGGAGGGTTGGTTACCTCAGCATCACCTAGCCTAGCTGACTGATCTACCACACCATGCCACTCCCATAACCGGCTTATAGCAATCTCTGCAGAAGAAATCGTAATCCAAGAAATTGTAACCCATATTATGGAAGTCCAGCTCTCAGGGGAGGATCATGGGAAATCTCTTTCCATCTCCTACACCCAGCCTCAGAGATGACCACCTTTTCCTTGTTACTTTAATGTTGAAAATAATAGTAATAGCTGCCATTTATTGTTTACTGTTGAGCCAGGCACAGAGCTAGGCTTTTTACATATAGTATCCCATATACTCTCTGGGCAACTTCAAGGCTGCACCCACAAACATCATCCATGACCTAATTGCTAACTGGATGGATGTTTGGTGGTCCTTCCTGGTACCTATGTGGCATGTTTCCTTGATGACCCCAACATCTTTTTCTTTTTACCCTCTTTGCCCTTCTATGTGCTAGGTGCTAGAGACAGAGTAGTGAATAAGACAGGCACAACCGTGCCCTCACGGAGCTTACCGTCTAGTGGGGTAGACAGATGAGTAGCAGATGATTATAACTCCGTGTGGTGAGACCTAAAATGGTGCTAAGATCAAGAGGTCTAAGGAACCCTTGGAGGGATCCCATAACCCAGGAGACTGAAGAATGAGAGGTGAGGGTGAGAAGAAAGAATGATCCAGGCAGAAGAGACAGTACAACGTCTTGGAGATTGGAGGCTGACTCGAGGCTGCAGAGATGTATGGCTTGGAGTTGAGCAGGGGACTGTGGAGAAATGAGGCTGGAGAGTTAAGCCAAAGCAGATCATATGAGAATTTGAAAGGCTCCAATAAAAAATGGAGAGTCAAAAAAAAAAAAAAGAGTGGAGAGTCTTTGAAAGGCTGTAAGGGAAGTAAGTAACAAGTTTAGATTCACAGTTGAATGAGCCTCAGTTTTCTCATCTATAAAATGATCACAATAGAGCTATCTGGATAATTAAATGGGAAAACGCATGCAAACAATGCCTGGCACATAGCTTATTATTCATTTAGCTAAGAGTCCCTTCTATGTGAAGTCTTTCACATAGCTCTGTGTTGGCTATAATCACATTCTGTTATAATTTTTCACTTATTTACTTATGCAGCTATCTCCCAAACTGAGAAATGTCATGATCAAAGGAAAAGACCGTGTCTTAATCCTGTTTGTGTTTGCTGGTCCCAGCACAAAGCCTAGCACATATTAGGCATTTGGCAAGTGCAGGCCCAAAACAGTGAAAAAGCAAAAACATCAAAAGGGCGAATAGGAGGACAGGACATACCACGTCTGACCGCAAGAGGGCGCGCTATGTTCCTACCAGAGAGCCGGGGCTGCTGGAGAAAGAGGGGCTCCCGGGCCCCCAGCACAAATCACCTTCTAGGATCTTTCTCCAGGGAAGCCCAGGGCGGAGAAGGTTGCTTTCTCAGGTCGAATGAGCTAGAGAACAATGAAAAGTGTTTTGAAAACTGCACTCATAGCACTGATGGCAGGGGCTGCCTCCACCTCCGTTTGTGAGTGGATCCTTGTGGAGTTGGTAGTCTGCGCGTCAATAGAAGAGATTACACAGACTTGCATCCTGGTCCCGAAGTTTGCAAACATTCAGTCACTGTCATCCCGACTGGGAACCCACTGAGGGAGAGCAGGTAGGAATCAGGACAGGTGACACAGGACCCTCTCGGGAGCACAGGGATTCGTTGAAAGCTAGCCGGACAATTTCAGGGAAGGCAAGAAATGGAGATTCGGGGAGGGAGCAAGGAAAGGAAGTGGGAAAGAAGGAGGAATAATGGGCCTCTGCGAGGGAGGGGTTATTAACCCCGTTGGGCCGGGAAGGGAACCAGACGGCGTGAACCGAGGGGGGCGGGCTCTCCGCGCGGCCCGAGGAAAACAACAGGCCATGCTGAGCCAACCCGGGTTGAGGGGGCGGGCTCGAAGGGAAGCCACGTGCCGGGGCGGGAAGCTATTGGCTGTCCCGGAGTTGTTTGTGAGCGGCCATTGGCGGCGTCGGGGAGCCGCCTCTAGCCGATTGGCTGGATCTTGGAGGACGGCCAGGGCCGGGAGGGGAGAAGGTGGTGGAACCGCTAGGCCGGGTCTTGCTGGGCCGAGCTAAGTGCGAGAACCTCCCGCGCAGGCACCCGAGCCTGAACCCGATCCCGAACCCGAGCCTCGGTTCCGCCGCCATGCGCTGGTTCCGCGCGCTGCTGAAGAATGTGTCCCTGGCAGGGGCGCCCAAGTACATCGAGCACTTCAGCAAGTTCTCCCCGTCCCCGCTGTCCATGAAGCAGTTTCTGGACTTCGGTACGGAGTGGGCAGGGGGCTGCTGGCCGCCGGGCCCCGGGGGTGCCAGGGTGGAGCGAGTGTAAGGGTCCTGGCCAAGAAGGATGAACGCGGAGGAGAGAGGCCCTGAGTGACAAAGGAAGGCTTGCTTGGAGGGCAACAGGCAGAAAGGGGTTAACGGGGAAGAAGGCACCACCGGGCCTGGAAAGGGTATGGGTATCCGGGCTGAGTCTCTGGACTGGACTGTTAATGGGAAGTGAGGGGCATTGAATAGGAGGGGTTCGAGGTGTCTCCCTGGGCTTTGTGAGGGGTCTTTGAGAATAAGGAGCAGTGAAGTTGTGATATTAGGGCAGGAAGGGAGTAGGGTGTATCCAGGCATAAAGAGTCCTGTTGACTCTAAGAGTAGGAGACAGGGAGGAAATAGAGGGGATGCTGGTGGAGTAACAAGGCAGCATTGGAGGTGCAGCTATCTGGAAAGAGATCTGGGCTGGGCATTGAGAGGTCACTTGGGGAAGGGGCTCTTTCAGCAGATGCCCACAGGAGAGGCCCTGACCAGGATACCGCCACCCACTGACGGAACTGGTCCCCCAGCTGTCACAGTGGGCAAGGACACTTGAAGATCAAATCCCCTCAGGCCTAACTGCCTGTCCCCAGCTGGACAGGGGCCCAGGGCACCACGAGATGGAGTCAGGCGGCTTGTACCCACCCTTGGCTACCCCTGGGTTCCCAGGCTAGGATCACCCACCATCAGCATTCTAAGGGTGGTTCTGGAGCAGGAGCAAGGCTGTGCCAGCATGGTGCCTGAAACAGACACTGTGTGGGCCCTGTCTATCACCGAGGCATTTCCATGGTGCCACTTGGAGATTAGGAGGGGGTTCCCAGGACTCTCAAGAGTTGAGAAGACAGTGCCTGGCTCAGGTTACAGCTGCATCATTGTTGGGAGAGAACAGGGACGGGTCAGCCAGGACACAAACAACCTGTTTCCCTAGACTTGGCCACCTGCCTTCTGCCCTGTTTGAGCTGCCCCCATGTAGGCAAGCCTCCTGTGCCCACTCCCAGCCCCCAGCAGCTGTTTAGGCCAGGCTGGATTAACCCCAATTACATAAATGTCACAGTAGAGCCTGGTCCACTTGTAGTACAGTGGGGGAAACAGAACTTCAGAAGGATAGTGGCATGTTCTGGGTGACAAAGTTGGAAGCAGAACCTGAACTAGAACCCAGGTCTCCTGACTCTAGCCTGTGGCCTCATTCAATCCTTCATCCTCCTTTCATCTTGAAGCCAAGCTAAGAACCAGGGTATTTGGGTTACCATCCTGCGGCCTACCTGCTTCACAGGTGGGTGGGTGTTAATGCAGGGGCAGCTCTACAGTGGTCATCAAGGCCAGCCTGCGTAAAGATGGGCTGGGTCAGAGATGATGCTGGGAGCCTGTAGCTGTGATGGTCCAGGGATAGCTTCCCTCAGTCAGGGCCCAGCTCTGGGGAGGGATGAGTTTCCCGGGCTGCTCTGCCTACCTAGATCCGCTCCCCCTAAGTGAGTGTCTGGTAGGAGGGAAAGAAAGAGAAGTGAGGTGACTTGGGCCACAGGCATCTCCAGGTGGGCCTGGGAATGGACCTGCCACCTATTGTTGAAGGAAAACAGGGTTTAGCTGGGCATGAGGAGAGGATGCAACTCCCCTGAGGATTAGATGGGCTGGTAGGGAGGTCAGAACACTGCAGGGCATTGGGAAAGCTGCCTACTCAGTGCCCTCGGTCACTTCTCTGAACCCTTGGGAAATGAAGGATTTAATCAATCTGACCCCTGGGATGTCTTCTAGCTTTGATGGTTTGCAGCTATGTGGGCTTACCTCTCTCTCTCTCTTTCCCTCCAGGCTCCAGTAATGCCTGTGAGAAAACCTCATTCACCTTCCTCAGGCAGGAGCTGCCCGTGCGCCTGGCCAACATCATGAAAGAGATAAACCTGCTTCCTGACAGAGTGCTGAGCACACCTTCGGTGCAGCTGGTACAGAGCTGGTGAGACCCCTGGCCAGGTCCCCACCCTCCCACTCCATCGCCAGATGCCCTGGGCTCAGAGATGGCGTCTTCATGCTCCCAGCAGCCTTGATGGAGGCAGGGACAGAGGGGAGGCACAGGACTCCAGGAGCCTGAGGAATTACTCAAAGTCAAGCGAAATGCTAGACCAGAGCAGGGATTAAGATCAGGATCTTAGCCTTGTGTCTGTGGGACGGCCCTATACATACCACCCTCCTTTCTCTGGAAACCCCGGATCCACCTAGGAAATCGTTTTCACAGCCAAAACCCCAGATCAGGGTCATGTCAGCATTCAGCCCCAGCCCTGGTCCCGAAAACCCAGCGCCTTCGGGGTAATATTTACCTGAGGTGACTTTGTGGGAAATGGAGAAACAGGAAGAAACAAATCTTCAAATCATATAATCCAAGCTACCAGTCAGACTGTTTTGGATGTTGGAAAACTCAAATAGACACAGGACCTACACCCAAAGAGCTCCTGAGGGCAAAGATCAAAAGTTTACTGCACAAAGCGGCAGTACCAGAGGAAAATTCTCAGTGAAGCTCACTCAAGAACTCTGTCCAGGGTTAAGTAACTGGACGATATTAGCCCATGCCAGTCATGTGAAGAAGAAACAAGTTTACTTTGTAACTGGGCCTTTAAGTGACTAATCAATGTTGGTCTTCAGGGGCACCTGTGCGGAAATCTTTTGCTAGTTCTGGCTGTAGTGGGTGTGGTCTGGCGGTGGTTTCCTTTCTGATTCAGGAGCAACACACCAACTTTGAGCCCAAGGTCAAACTAAGGGAGCCCGCGGTCTCAGGAGGGTGAGGGGAGAATGAAAGAGGGAGAATTAAGCACTACAAAGACAGTGGTAGGAGCAGTGAGCTGCTGAAAAGTTCGTTTTATTTAAATGAATAATAAAAATATTATTTAAAAGTAACATTGGTTGGGGTTCTTCCCCCTCACTGAGGAAGTGTAGCATGTTCGCTATGATATTTGGAAAACAGAAAAGTAGATCGAAGAGAATGCCAACCACAACTCTCCACCCCATAACCAAACACTGGTAAGGCTCTGTAAGGTTTTGTTGGTGCCCTTCCAGCCCCTTTTCCCTGCGTGGATCTGTATGTGCATGCCTTATTCTAACTACGTGAGGGATGGAAGGAAAGCGTTGTGTGCGCAAAGCCAGGCACACAGTCAGTGCACAGTGAACGTTAGTTGAATCATAAAGTTGTGGGGAAGTGGAAATGGATGTGAAATGTATAGAGGAGGCAATGTGCCCCTGGGCCTTACAGGTGCCTCGGTGAACCTAGATCAAGAAGGAAGGGAAGGGCACTCCAGGCCGAAGGAACTGCTTATGTAAAGGTGTGGAGGCAGGAAAGCGCCCAGCGGGGGCATCCTTAGAACTTACTCTGTAGACACAATGCTGTAAGTGAAAAGTGGGATGGGGGACAGAGGATTTTCATCTTGCTGAGTCCTCACAGGTCCGAGACCTCAGAGCTAACCAGTATTTCCCACTGTGGGGCAGTGTGGAAGTCATGGGGAGGAGACATAAGGTGCCATCTGTTCTCTCCTCCTTCTCTGGCTCTGTCTGGATGATTGACTTGGCTGCCTCTCCAGCAGGTCCTTGACTCCATGACATGGCTTCTCAGGCCCCTCCCTGGACACTGTGTTCCTGGGAGAGACAAGGATTGGAGGGAGGATGGGGTGAGGAGCTGCTGAACTTCCCATGACATCCCGGGCCTCCACAAAGTCCCTTTCTGAAAGTCAGTTACACATGTGGGGGCTTGGCCTGACTTATCCTTCTCTCAATAATATCAACCAACAGCAGGAGGGAGTGAAGTTAGACAATGGAGAGCACTTCCCGGTGGATGACTCAGCTTAGAGGAGAGCAGGCAAAGGGATTGCTGGTGTGTCTGACACACCGAAGAAAGCCTGCTGAGATTGTTTCCAAAATGGGTATCAGCTGTAGCAAGAGAGACTAAGGTTTTAGGGAAGAAAGGACTATCCTGTCAGGACAGGGGCAAGGTGGCTGCCTTGAGAGAGTATAGCCCCCCTTTTCCAGGACAGCCCCCTGCCAGCTTGGATGATGGAGGCGGTGGAGGTGGGCAGAGTTTACATTCGAGGAGGGCTATGGCCTACCAGGGAGTCTGGCAAGAGGACCACTAGCCTCAGAGTCTGATGAATAAGGCACAAAACCTCCCTTTTGGAAAATGGAAAAATCCTGTACAAATACTAGTAGTAGTAGTAGTGGTGGTGGTGGTGGTGAGTAGTCAATATGGGGTGATAGCTAATGGAGTTTCTGCTGGGCTGGGAGAGGCAGTAGCAGGCACCATTGTGAGCAAGTGGAGAATTACTGGTTCTAAGTGAACCTGATAAATTATTTCAACTGGGCAGACTTGGAGTGGGGGAGCCCTGTTTTGGAAGTGATTGCAGGGTGCTGGAAAGCCCTGGGGGTGGCATCAGCGTGCTTGACATTGAGGCTCGGCTTTGCTGCCTGCTGGACTCTTAATCCTCGGCAAACCACGTGGCTTCTCTGAGCCTTGGTTTCCTCGTCTGTAAAATGGGGATCCAGGCTGTTTCTAAGGGCCAGATGCCACTGCTAGATGTGAAAGTGTGGGGAACTTTAAACACAAGTGACGTCTCCAGCTTCTGGGCCACAGCTCCTCCAGGCCAAAGATGATGTGGTTATGGCAGAGGTTCTCCTAGACAGTGAAGTAATGCCAACAACTACACGACAAAAGCAAACATACCTGGAGGGCTGCTCTGCATCAGAAGCTGTTGGAGGCGTGTCCGCGTGTCAGTTATGTAACCTTCACCACAGCCTTATGAACCAGGCCTTGTCCTTAGCCCCATTTTATAGATGAGTAACCGAGGTTCAGAGAGATTAAGAACCTTGTCTGAGAACACTTAGATAGTCATTGGGAGAGCTGAGATTCCAAGTCAGGCTGTGTGACCCAGAGGCCGCATTCTTGAAGGGATTTGGGGCAGCGACCTGGAGTGCGATTCCACATCGCAGGGCGTGGGAAAGTAGGATTCACGTGACAGAATCTTGTTTGATGGCTAGTGTTGCTGGAGCCTGGAAGGGTAAGGGAGAAAGCCAGCTGAGGGAAGGCGTGGATTCCGTGCGGATGTGCTTCCAGAGAATGGAGGGTTAAGGGGAGAGTTGCAGAGTAGACGCCAATGACAGTGAGTCACTGCTGTTATTAATAAGTCTTTGCAGAGGTTGTATCATACGGTCAGCACCTTCTTAGGGATCTCCCTTGCCTGTCAGCAAGGTGTATGGATCCCAAACCCCACCTGTGGAGGACTCCCACCCCACCCCGCAGGAACGAGTCTTTGCCCTTACAAACAATAACCACCATCGCCACTCAGGCTCCCAGCATCCAGAGCCTGCTCTGCCAGGCACGGAGCTGGGGCTTTCGCCAAATCCTCCCATTGGCTCCCTCAGCCTCTCCTTACATAACAGAGTGGAGACAAGTAACCTGCATCATCTCCTCCGAGGGCCACTGCTGTGAGCCCCATTTCACAGATGGGGACCTGAAGGGCTCAGTTTCCTCCTTAGGGCACAGTCAGCCATGGGATCCAAGTCTGCCTGGCTCAGGGTCCCCACCTGCCACCCTTCCACAGAGTGGCTTCCAGATGCACAGTACATCTGTCACCTCTCCCCTCCTCACACAGCCATTGCCTTGTCCACACCCTTGTCTCCAGCGGCCGTGGACACGGTGCATGGTGCACACACTCGCACCCCCCCACGGGCACACACTTAACACACACTCCCCCACATCAGCGCTCCCTCCTGCTTCCATACAAGCCCCTGTGCACCTCCTCCCCCAGTGCACACACATTCTAGTATTTCTTCACACACGCACACACACACAGGCACACATGTCCACACTCTCTCCTCCTCCTCTCTAGAATTCCACCCCTTTCCTTCCCAACCTAGGGCTCTGGACTGGCTAGAAAGCCTCAGAAGGCAGGGTTTGGTGGGGGGAGGGGGGGAGCTCAGATCCCTCCCAGGGAGTCTTGTGGCCTTGTTTATGCTGAGGTTGGTGGGCCCAGGCCTTTCCTGGGCATTTTCTTGGCCCTCACTGCCCGCTCTGCCTGCCGAGGGTGAGGGTGAGTAAACCTGAGATGACGCGCCTGTCACTGCACCACTGCTCTCGGGCTGCCATGTCCCAGCCCAGTTCTCCTCTGGCCGTCAGAGGGGGTGCAGCCCAGGGGCCAGCATGGCTCAGCCCCAGTCTCTCCCCTTAGGACCAAGATCTGGCCCTCGCCCTTGAGTATGCCAGGCCCCTGGGGGGACTTCAGCCCAGGACTGGGGTCCCCGGGAAAGTCCTCTCATCCTCTGCTCTCCCTTGCAGGAATGGCCCTGTGAGGGAGGCAGGCAAGGAGTCTAAACCCTGATTCACAGTCCAGGAGACAGGCCTGGGGCTGGCAGTTCTCCTCATACCTGCACAGGCAGGCACTGCCCTTTGCCAGTCCATCCTGGTGCCCTTTGCCATACTTCATCAGCCATGTGACCAGGCCCTTTCCTGCTCTCTCTAGGGTTCATTAGGCAGCCACGGAGGGGAGGGGAGGGACGGTGCTAGCAGCCAGAGCACTTACCCCACCCCTGGGCGCTGGGACTCTGACCTGCCCTCCCTGCTCCTGGCCAAGCACCACCATGCTGGTCAGGGTCTCCCAGCACTCACCCCCCACCCCCCGCCTGTCCAGGGCTCCCGCGCTCCATCTGGTCTGTTCCCCTCCTCTCTCTGCTTGTGCCCATCTTGCACACTTGCCGTTCCTCTCCCCAATCCCGTCTCCCTCCGAGAATCATGTGAGCACGAAGCTTTATCCTGGGCATGATTAGGGAACAAGGGATTGGAATCACACAAGCCTGCAAGAGAATCCTCGTTTTGCAGGTTAACTTCCTCATCTGTAAAATGGGGCTGGCAGCAGCACCTCCCTTATAGGGAGATGGTGGAGGTTGAAGGCGGGGAGCAGGTAGGCATGGAGCAGAGTGCTGGCACAGGCCGGTGCCTGGTAAACGCTGCTGCCATGACCACCAGCATCAGCATCGCTGTTAGGACCAGTGCAGATGGTGAACAGTTGGCTGTGTGGTGTAGACTTGACATCAGACAGACCTGGGCTTGAATTCCAGCACAGCTGCTTACTGTGTGGCCTGGGGCAAATCCCCTGCCCTCTCTGAGCTGGTTTCCTTGTCTGCAAAGAGGGGGACATCCTGCAGGTCCTCAAAAACCATCATTCCATTCTAACATTGATGAGATGCCGTAGGAATTTAACTCTTGTTTATATCAATTGGTAACATTGGTTTTGCTATACATGTTTTGCTTCGAGTCACAGAATGTATGACAACCTTAAGTGAGGACTCACTGTACTTATGCTCATCAAGGCTACTGGGAGATGAGCGACCTATGTAGACTCTGAGCACAGTGGGGGCCCTGGCGGACACTAGGAGGCGAGGTGAGGCCTTAGGAGTGCCGCTGTCGGCTGGGGCTGCAGGGATGGGGGTGCTGATCTCTGAGCTCTGGGCTTCCCCCACCACGGCTGCACTGCCCCCGTGGAGCACAGGGCGCCCAGGGCTGGGGCAGCCCCCATCCTGACATCGATGACTGTCCGGAGCATGATGGATTACAACATGGTGTGATTCAGAGCCTGTGCCCAATATAACCAGGAGGAGGGTGTCACATGCTGCCTAGAGCCCCAGAGGTTGCACCCAGCTATTGACAGTGTTTGAACCACCATTCATAGAAAGAGCAAACATTTAGAGAGTTCACTATGTCCTAGGCACTGTGCTAATTATCACATTTAATCCTCACTAAAAAGCAGTGAGAGCAGTAAGTTTAAAACCTTTCCTTTTCCTGACGAGGAAACTCAGGCCCAGAGAGGCCCCATGACTTACCCGGGGCCACACAGCTCCCGGTGGAAGAGCCAGGACTGGGACCCCGCAGAGCCAGCTCCAAAACTAGCTCGCTCACCTTCTCTCCCGTCTGAAGCAAGAGAGGGAAGGGCCTTTTCTGAGACTGGTAGGCTCCAGGGGCCCTCCCTGCACAGGCCTACGGGCCTCCCCTCCTTCCTATTGGCTGGAAATGTTTCTGCCAGAGGGAGGCGTAGCTCTCCCAGTAGAATAAGCTGTGAGCTGGGCATGTTAGCAGGGAAACTGTGGGTGTCCTGACTCAGGGGACAGTGGCTCCAGGTTGGTACCACCTGCTGCCATAGGTAGGCCTGACTCTCTTGCAGAAGCTAGCCTTCCGCTGTCCCTGCGTGAGGGCTTCCCAACGCTCCCTTTGGTTAGCAGCTCTTTTCTAGGTCCGGGGAAACTGGCCTCTTCACTAGGCCTACAGATGGAGGGGCTCCGGGGCTGCCCTTCCTGCCGGGCCTTCAGAGTGGAGCGAGCTCTCAGGCTGGTCAGAGCTCGGCCTGCCCACCCCACCCCCGGTTCTTCCCAGCCCCTATTTACTCCAGTTCCCTTGGCAGATTGCATAAGTCCTGGTGCCCAGCCCACACCCGCCAAGCCCGGAGTCGGGGGGATGTTCTGTCATCCTCCTCGCTGAGCCCCTGCTCTGGGGCGGCCTGGGCTGGCCACTCTGCCAGCTGTGCCCGTAGCATGCAGCAGCCCGTGGGGCAGAGAGTAAGCTCTGTTTCTGTGATGGGGCTCAGGGGAGCAGAGTGACTTGCCCCAACCTTCTCTCCCTGCTGGCCCTTGGTCACGTGTCCCTTGCCCCATCTGGGCCTCAGTCTCCTAGTCTTTGAGACCTCTTGGATGGGATGGTCTGCGAGGCCCTTCTAAGACTCCTAGGATTCCCAAGCAAAGGTGCTCTAAGGGGGACCAACACATTAGAGGTTTTTTTGCATAACTCACTGTGTTGTCAGGGAGACTCGTGCACATGGACTAAGGATTTGTGATGCAGCTTGTCAGCTAGCGCAGCTGCGCGGTGCCCACAGGAGGGGCAAAGCCAGGGTGAGGGCAGCTGAGTCTGGTGGGAAGGGGGCCCGCCCAGAGCTGAGGCAATGTCTCCCTCTGCCCCCTGACCACAGGTATGTCCAGAGTCTCCTGGACATCATGGCGTTCCTGGACAAGGACCCAGAGGACCACCATACCCTGAGCCAGTGAGTGAGGGACCTGGTTGGGGGCAGGAGGGCAGGTGTAGGTGAGTGGCACCTGGGGTCATAGTCCCAGGGGCAGAAGTGCCAGCAGGCTGGAAGAAATGACCCTGCCCTCAGGATATCCAGTCTGATGGGGAGATAGCTCCTGTCCTCAGTGTGCCCTGAGTCTGATGGGGGACCCAGGGGGGCCCCCCGGCTGTCAGACAGGCAGTGGGGGCTTCGGGAGGAATGGGGTGCTGTGGTCATCGGGTTGGGAAGGGTTAAGTAGGTGAGGACACGGTGGAGAGGAGGTTGGAAGCAGAGGAGAGTCTGAGGGTGTCCCAGGGCTGGGCCTGTGTAGGGGCCAACATCTGCCCCCCCCCCCCGTACAGGTTCACCGAGGCCCTGGTCACCATCCGGAACCGCCACAACGACGTGGTGCCCACGATGGCGCAGGGCGTGCTCGAATACAAGGATGCCTATGGCGATGACCCCGTGTCCAACCAGAACATCCAGTACTTCCTGGACCGCTTCTACCTCAGCCGCATCTCCATCCGCATGCTCATCAACCAGCACAGTGAGCCACGGCGGTCATGGCGCATGGACTCATCGTTGTAACTGTTCACTGAACGCAAAATTAGGTCACCTCTTTAAACGTGTTCAGTGCGTTACATAAAACTCACTGGGGGGTCGGGTTAGAGGAGAGAGGGCAGGGAGTGGGGAGGGGGCAGCTGCGCGGTCAGAGGTGTCACACACGGGTGGCCAGCCCTGGGGAGAGGGAGGGCGGACAGGCTCGGCAGCCCTGCCAGCAGCACCCTCTTCCCCCAGCCCTGATCTTCGATGGCAGCACCAACCCAGCCCACCCCAAACACATCGGCAGCATTGACCCCAACTGCAGTGTCTCTGAGGTCGTGAAAGGTAAGCCGTCCCCACTGTGTCTGGCCCACAGAGGAGCCCCAGCGACGTCTCCAAGCTCGTCTGGCCAGAGGGTGACCCATTCCCCAGTGGTGGGGGCCACGTCCCCATGGGTTTAACGTTGGGGATGCCCGGTGTTGGTGCTAGAGGACTGCCTGCTGGGTGAGCTGCCCCATTTTCTCTCTCTTCTCTCAGATGCGTATGACATGGCCAAGCTCCTGTGTGACAAGTATTACATGGCCTCACCTGACCTGGAGGTTCAGGAGATCAATGGTGAGCGAGCAAGGCTGGCGTGTGTCTGTCTGTCCAAGGGCTGGGGACATGGGGGAGCAAGGTGAGCTGGGGAGTTAGGAAATGACCTGTAATCTGGGTAGGGGAGAAGCAGAGCTATTATTGTATTATTATTGTTGTTATCATCGTCCTTAGTACTTATTTGGTAAATACAGGGGAGGGCAAAAGTAGGTTGACAGGTGCATGTGACATGATCATGAATAAATAAAGCGAGTATAATCATCATAACCTGCATGTCTTTTTCCATGCAAACAACGTGGACCAGTATTTATTAAGCAGTAAACACAACAGCCAAGGTCCCTGTTCTCATGGAGCTTACATTCTTGGTGCTGGGAGGCTGAGGAACGAGGCCTTTGACCAATGAACAAACAATAGAGAGAGACTTTCATGGCGTGAGAAGGGACGGGAGGGAAATACAACGGGATCGCATGGCAGTGATGAGAAGGGTTGGTAGATTAGATGGGATATTAGTTAGTTTGGCTGCCTTCCCAGAATCCAAATAACAATGGCTTAATTAGGAAAGAAGTTTCCCTCTCTCCAGCCTGGAGAAGGGGCAGAGGATGTGGAAGGCAGGGCCCAGGAGTTGAACACATGACTTCCCTGTTACCCAGCTCTCCCCGCTGCAAGGGCCACAGAGAACTGAGTCTCTAGCTGGGCAGCCCTGTGCCAGTTGAAACTTTGGGGGACGAGTGTCTATTAGTGAAAGAAGGGAAGAACGGATCCGGAGGATCAGGACAGGGGTCCTAGTTGGGATGGGGTCATCAAGGACCAGAAGGAGGAGTAGGGTGGGGCTGGGAGATGGCAGGGGTGATGGGCTGGAGAGAGAGGCTGGGCATGCAGGGCCCATGGGCCATGGGCAGGCCCTGGGATTTTGGGTGTAGCAGGAGCCATTGGGGGGTTTGAAGCCTTGGTGATGACAAGATCTGACAACTTACATTCTAAATGTATTGAGAGGTTGGAGGAGGCAGGAGAAGACCAGCTAGGAGGTCACTGCAGGAATCCAGGCAAGGGGAGGGGAAGGCATCGGAGGCATAAAGAAGGGCGTGGGTTTGATAAATATCTTGGACATAGAGGCGTCAGGGCCCGCTGATGAGCCAGGGGGTAGAGGGGAGAGGAGGACCAGGGACCTGGAAGTTACCTCCACCCCTCCCCCAGCTGCTCCTCAGCCATGCCCTGCCGGTGTGCCAGAAACCTGAGGTGTTTCGTGTCCTGTACCTGGAAGTCACACTGCCCATGTTCTGATGTTTCCTCAAGGCCCAGTTCAATTCCAACTGCTCTGAAAAGCCCTCCCAGACCTCCCACAGAAGACAGGCACCCGCCTGCCTCAGGGGTACCTCTATATTGCACTGTTTGAATTACTTGGGGACCAAGACTGAAGGGCAGAGACAGGCCCTTTATTTGAGATCCCCAGGGTCCAGGCCAGGGCTTGGCACACCGTTCTGGGAACATCACCTAATAAAGTCAGTTGTGTGTTTCTCTGTCTAGACTTGAATTTCTGAGAAGGTAGGGCTGAATTTTATTTGTCTTTATGTCCCCACTGCCCACCACAGGGCCTGAGATTCCTTCATTCGTTGATCCATTGCACATTTATTGAGCTGCTACCTACAGATCTCTGTGCCAGACCCAGGAAGAAACACTTAGTCCCTCACACTAAGAAACCCCAGGCTAGAGTGATTCTTGGGAAGGAGCTGGTATCAGAATCACCTGGGCAGTACCCCGCCCTCTCTCCAGGGTTAAAAAGCCCTCCAGGGGATTCGGATATACAGCTGAATACTAGCAGGCTGGATATAGGATAGATAGATCCTATTTGAATGCATAAATGATGAATAGATGGATAGATAAACAGTGAATGAATGAAAAGATGGATATATATTCTGAATGAATTGATAGATGTTAAGGATAGATATTTGAACAGATGCATAGACTAAAGGACCACTGGACGTTTGAATGGACACTGGATGGGTAGATAGAGGAATTAATGGATGTTGAATGGATGCGTTGGATGGGTGGGTGGATGGGTGGATGGGTGGATGGGTGGATGGATGGATGGATGGGTGGATGGATGGATGGGTGGATGGATGGATGGATGGATGGATGGATGGATGGGTGGATGGGTAGGTGGGTGGATGGATGGATGGATGGATGGATGGATGGATGGATGGATGGATGGATGGGTGGATGGATGGATGGGTGGATGGACACTGTATAATGGAAGGATAGATGGATAGATGGTGGAATGGACACTGAATGAATGGATAGATAGACAAATGAATGCTGGGTAAATGGAGAAGATGGATAGGTAATGGATGGAGATCCAGTGCTGGGTGCTAGATGCTGGGTGAATGAATGCTGATTGGTGACCTCTTGACAATTTCCTAATCTTTGGTCTTGACTTCCCCGGCAGCATCCAACGCCAAACAGCCAATTCACATGGTTTATGTCCCCTCCCATCTCTACCACATGCTTTTTGAACTCTTCAAGGTGAGGAGGCTGGGGACTGGTACTGTGTGCGGGTTGGGGCGGTTCGGGCCAGGCTTCTCTCACTCGTCTCCTTTCCCTCCACAGAATGCCATGCGAGCGACTGTGGAAAGCCACGAATCCAGCCTCGTTCTCCCACCTGTCAAGGTCATGGTGGCCTTGGGCGAGGAAGATCTGTCCATCAAAGTATGTGACCCTTGACTTCTGGGGCCAGAAAGCAGTGTGGGGGGGCATCCCTCCTTCCAGGAGGTGGGCTTGGGAAGACCCTGGCAGGGTCACAGAAACCCAGGAGAAGGTCAAGGGTATCAAGGGGTGGGTGTGTGTGGAAACAGGTCTGAAGAGCCCCTGACATGTCTCCTCTCCCCTAGATGAGCGACCGAGGTGGGGGTGTCCCCTTGAGGAAGATCGAACAACTCTTCAGCTATATGTACTCCACAGCACCCACCCCGCAGCCTGGCACCGGGGGAACCCCACTGGTGAGATGGCTTCGTTCCAGCTCCCCTCCTGCCTCCCAAAGGATGCTTGTCTGTCCCTTCATCTCCTTTCCAAACTGTCACTCCTCGCTGTCTCTCACTTCCTTATCTCCCAGGGTCTGTCCCTTCTCCTGTGGCTCCGTGTGGTGTCAGTCACCTCTCCTGAGGCTGGGCCTTCCTGCTTCTCCCGTCTCTTCCCAGCCTGGCCCTCGCTGCCTCCCTGTGGATGTGTTAGTCACCTCTCCTCAGTTCTCCCTCCCCCCTGCATCTCCCTACAAAGTTATTCCTTCTGTGTTCAACTCATTAGCACCTCCCTGTCCATTCCCAGTGGAGTGGGCAGAGCTGGTTTGGGAAACTGAGACTCCGAGGAGCCCCGTGACCTGCCCAGACCCCCGGCTACGAGGGCCTAGCTCCTTTCCTTGCCCTGCTCCCCCCACACTGTGCCTCCTCCCAGACCGACCTCCCCCAGACCGGCCTTCATCATCCCACAGCTCCTGTCTTGCCTCCCTTTCTTGTGTCCCTTCCCATCTAAGTTCTGGGAATCCCTAGCATGACCCCAGCTCAGCACTCCTCATTCAGCATATTCGTCGCTGCAGCACCAGCCTCCTCATCACACTCCCTTCCTGTCCCCTGACAGGCTGGCTTCGGGTATGGGCTCCCCATTTCCCGCCTCTATGCCAAGTATTTCCAGGGGGACTTGCAGCTGTTCTCCATGGAGGGCTTCGGGACCGACGCTGTCATCTATCTCAAGGTGAGGGTCGCAGCCTCCCGTGCCCTGCTGGCCGTGCAGTCGGGCAGGATCAGCCTGCTCTAGATTTCTCTTCCGTCCCTCTACTCCTTTCCCAGTTCCAGGCTGAGAGTCAGAACAAAGCGACAGTCCCCCGACCCCTAGATGCTCCCAGCCTGGCCGGCAATTTCAGGGAGTCCCTGGTCCATGACTAAGATCCCTTCTCTGTGGACCCTTGACTTGTGAGACCGAGAAGGGGAGGGCCATCGAGAATTTGTCATCAGCTCAGGAGGAGATGGAGGCCCAGACTTGATACCCTTCTTCAGGAACACGTAGCCCAGCCTCCTTGCTCTCCCTCCCTGACCCTTTGAGTGAGCAGCCTCCTTGAATGGGCCGGAGCAAGACACAGAGGGACGGACCCTTTTGAGGGTCTCCCTGGGCCAGTCCGCGCCTGGCACTTGGCTCGGTTGACGAACGGGCCCCAGTCACTGGCCAGCACGGCCCACCTTGGTGTGAGGAGCGGGCAAGGCACAGGGCAGAGGCAGAGGCTGAGTCTGATGCTCCCCAGGCCCTGTCCACGGACTCGGTGGAGCGCCTGCCCGTCTACAACAAGTCAGCGTGGCGCCACTACCAGACCATCCAGGAGGCCGGCGACTGGTGTGTACCCAGCACGGAGCCCAAGAACACGTCCACGTACCGTGTCAGTTAGGGGCCACCCCGCCCTTCTGCACCTGAGAGGACGGACTGATTGCTGTCTCTGGGTTACCCTCTCCATCCCCTGCCCCCCAGGTGGGGGAGATGCTCCCTGATGACAGCTTCTGTCTCTATGGAAATCACTGCGGTGACCAGTCTGTGGTGGCCCCTAAGTGCCAGTCCCTGTCCCTGGAGATTCTTAGGTGGTCTCCTCAGTGTCCAGTCTCTGTGGGAGATCCCTGAGGATTGGGGGGTATCTCCACCCTGCTGGGATGTCCTAGAGGTGCATGTCCATGACAGTCCTCCTGAGACTAGAGCTGTCATTTTTCTGTCCGGAGTCCTGGGTCCCCCTCACTGCCCTCCAAAGCCTGGCCTTCCAAACAGATGCCCCTGCTTGCCTTATTCCCTTAGTCTGCCCAGGCACCCGGTCCCGGTCCCGTGTCAGCATTCGGGAAGGGTCAGTGCCCCCCAGATCTGGGTGGTGGGTGGGGAAAGGAGTTGTGCCCTTGGACCTCCAGGTGGGGACCTGGTCTGGCAGCCTCACCCTCCCCTCTGAGCTTCAGGTCAAGGTTAGGAAGGAGGGAGTTCTTACCAGGACCTCACCCCTAAAGTTCACCCCTAAAGCAGAGGAATCTGGGAGGACCCTGAGGCATGCGCCCAGCCAGGCCGCTTGGAGCCCCGCAGGTGGTCCCCGCAGTGTTTCTGCTGCCCCCCAGGCCCTGCCCGCATGTCCTGACATGCACACACACGCCTGCCCTCCTCACATCCACACCGTCCCCCCGAGTTCCAGACCCCCACTCCCACTGTGCCCAGACACGTGTGTGCTTGGGTGGCTTTCTCCCTAAAATGCTCTGTGTACATAGCTGTTTTTTTAGCCCTGAATGTCCCCACCCTTCCCCTCAGCACTTGGGGGGTAAAGCTGTGTGCTCCTCCCAGTGGCTGTGGCAGCGACAGTGAAGATTCGATGGAATGGGGCCTGGCTGCTTTCCCGGGGCAGAGAGAGCCACACGGACAAATAAAAGACCAGCGTGTGCAGACTGCAGCCTGTGACTCAGTGCGTACGCCCGGGCAGCCCAGGGCACACGGCTCGGTGCGTACGCCCGGCCCAGGCAGCCCAGGGCACACGGCTCGGTGCGTACGCCCGGGCAGCCCGGGGCACACGGCTCAGTGCGTACGCCCGGGCAGCCCGGGGCACACGGCTCGGTGTACTCCCGGGCAGCCCGGGGCACACGGCTCGGTGCGTACTCCCGGGCAGCCCGGGGCACACGGCTCGGTGCGTACTCCCGGGCAGCCCGGGGCACACGGCTCGGTGCATACGGCCAGGCAGCCCAGGGCACACGGCTCGGTGCGTACACCCGGGCAGCCCAGGGCACACGGCTCGGTGCGTACGCCCGGGCAGCCCAGGGCACGGCTCGGTGCGTACCACCAGTATAAAGCAGGCATAGCCTCCATTTAGAACACCGGACAGTGCATTGCCCAGTGACAGTCACCCCACCACGCTCGGGACACAGCACAGCCCTGACCCTACTAGGAAGACAGAAAGGTCACTGGCACATCATAAGTGTTTATTGAAATAAATGGAGTACTGCCCCCCCACATGCCGGTGGACACCCAGATAGCTCCGATGGTTTTAAGGACCTGGGTGCCTTCCAGCCTCCCCACCAGTCAGTCCCTCCACCAGGCCCAGGTGGTGCCGGTGCCCCCATATCTCTTTCCTCTGAAACCCTCTCCCAGTACAGACAGCAGAGAGCAAAGGGCTGGGCCCCAGGGACAGGGTGGCCCTCAAGCCACAGGCCCTGGGCAGGAGTGAGGGGTTGGCATGTACCGGGTCCTTCCTCGCTCCAGGCAGATGGGAGGAGGCGGAGGGACTTCTAACCAGAGGCCGTGGCCCCACTGGTAACTCTCGCGGATGCTCCTGAAGCTGGGCTAGTTTTGTAGCCCCAAGGACGGGGCTCTCCGTGGGCTGCACTCCATCCTCAGGGGTGGGGGCTGGCTCGCCCCTCGTGGTCCGAGTTTGCACTGTCTTCCAGTTCTGGAGCTCATTGGGCCCTACTGGGGACCAGGGCAGACGGGGGAGGGCTGACAAACCCTTCCAATCTAGCCGCTTCCTGGGGACCTGGATTTGCCTCTGCCTGGCTAGGGTGAAGATTTGCCAGTTCAGTCCCACATAGGCATCGGTAGGGGGTGTCCTTTTCTCTGCCAGCTCCTAAGTTTGTTCTGTCCCCAGGGAGGGCTCAGTGCCCTCGGAAGGCAACAGGAGAAGCAGGCCTATCAGGGAGCGGGCCAAGGTGCAGGCCTGCCTGGGCCCCAGGGGGAGCAGAACTGCAGGGATGTCATCTTGTCATTGGGACCACAGGACACTGAAGGGGAAAAGAAGGATGAGGGTTTCACCCTCCCTTCTCTTGGGGTCCTGCAAAGACCACGTGAGATGCTGCCTCCTCTGCTCTCCTGTTGAGGAGGCAGACCGGGAGTCTACCCTGAGTGCAGCTTGCTGCAGTGCCCACCAGCCTCCCTGGGAACAGAACAGAGCTCTCCCCACACGCAGCCACCTTGGAGAGCTGGAGAGGAACAACTCCATCCACCTACCCCTGCCGAGATGCTCAGCCACCTCTCCGGCCCCGCGGCAGGGCCTCTGGAAGGCGGCAGCGGGCATGCTAGCTCACTGCCAGCCCCAGCCCCACTGTGGCCTGAGGACAGAGGGTCAGACTAACCCAGGTGCTTCTGGGCTCCCAGACTGGCTTCAGCCCTGGCCTCTCTGCCCTCTTCCCATAATCTGCCACCTCCCCCAGGAACTCTGTGCCAAATGAGTCCTTGAAATCCATTTATTACTGGGCCCTCTCCCTGGGGTCTCCCTTTCTGGGGGATCTTGGTCCAGACAGAGTGACAAGGTGAGAGGGCATGTACCCTCCGAGAGCGCGGGGCCAGGCCAGCCCAAGCCTGGCGCCCAGGCTCCACTCCCCTGGGGAGGCCTGTGCCCGCCGAACCCGGCGGCTGCCCGTGCCTGGGTGCCATGCCTGCCTCACTCTCTTCTAGCTCTTCTTGGCCTCCTGCTCCCTGCGCCGGAGCTTCTCCCGCTGCCGGGCAGCCTTCTCCTGGGCCTTGCGCTCCTTCTCAGCAGCTGCTGCCAGCTCCTTCACCTTCCGCTTCACCAGTGCCCGGTCATGCGAGCTGCTGAGCCCCAGGCTCTGGGGGAGGAATCCGAGGGTGAGGGGAAGGGCCCAGAACCACCCCGGGTTCTTTGTGCTCAGGTGTACCCTCTCTGGAGCTCCATCTGTCCTCTCTGAAGTCCAGCCTCCACCTCCCAGACTTGCCAGTGGATCAGAACCCTCAGGGAAAGAATTGGGAAGGGGAGTAGTTGGGAGAGGTAAGGGTGGAGGGTACCAGGCCCTTTACAACCACCACCACCACCCTGCGGTCCTCCACTTGCCATAATCCCTGCTCCAACTCCTCCACTCGGGGTTTCAGCTTGGGCATGACCCTGATGCCCAAGGTCACACAGCTGGTCAGTTGGAGAGGCCCCTGCCACTCCAGAGACTTCCTGAGGGGCTCTCCTCTCCACCCCTTCCCCAAGCATCTCAGCAGAGGGTGGAAACCGGCCAGAAACCTCCCAGCACAGAAATCAGAGGTCCCTCCTGATCTCCAAGACTGAGAATCAGACAAGGTGATCAGGGGAGAGGACTGCTTCCCACACTACCAGGAGGCTCATCAGAGTCAAGAGTCAGGTGATAAGAAGTCCTAGAGGTCAAGGCCTGGAGCTTGAAGGTCAAACGGAAGAACTGGGTTTGAGTTTCAAGTCAGACTGAGGACTCATGCTACAGCACAAGGATTAGGCCAAGGACCTGGCCTAGAGGTCAGAGGTTAGGGCAGTGGCCTCAGAGGGAGTGACAAGGTCAGGAAGAGGGGATCCCAACCCTTGACGGGGGTCTCGGGCTCCGGCTGGGTCGGGGCCTTGCACTCTGACCCACCTTGAGTTTGCTCCCATCCAGCTGCAGCAGCTGCGGCCCGTCCACCTGCCGCGCGGCAAACTCGGCGGCGTACTGCTCCAGGTTGAGGCTGTGCAGCCACTGGCCCACCTGCTGACTCGTCCAGTGGTGGATAGTGGGGAGAGGTTCATCCAGGAACTGGGGTGGAGACCAAGGACAGTGAGGGGGAGATGTGGCCTGTGGCCTGCGCACCCCGCAGTCAGAGGCCAGGGCTAGCTCACCTCATCTGAAGACTGGGACAGCGTGTGGTAGGGGTAGGAACACTTGGCCTCCTGCCGGGGACCACTTGGGATCTTGGGGCTGCTGCTGGGGGGTGTGGAGTCATCACTCAAGGTAGATTCCTAGACAGGAGGGAGTGCATGCCACTGAGTTCTCGAGAAAGTTTGCCCCCATCCCAGGGGAGTCCCCCCAGCCCACCCACCCCCAGCTAGATGGAGATGAAGTCCTGGAGTAGGCACCAGCAGTTGCTCAGTGCACCCTATGCACAGCCAGGAGCTGTGCAGGCACCCAGGACATGGTGACTCATGTGAGGCGTCAGGACCTGAGGCCTCTGGGAGGACGTGGGGCTAGAACTGGGCCAGGCAGACTAGGGAGCAGGAATGAAGGCCTCAGACTAGGTGCTGATTCCTACAGGCAGTCAGCCAGGATTCTCCTAGACTGCATCAGGTGCCCGCTTTCTGCTTCCCCACCATGGCCTCCGGTGCCTTGATTAGAGGTCCTTGTCCTCGCTAGACTGTGAACCCTATGAGGGTCTGGGCTGTGTCTGTTCACGGTGGTACCCCCAGGGACCAGCACAAGGGGAGGAGGAAAGGGAGGGCATGCTGGGAAGGAGGAAAGAAGGAAGTCTCAGGTGAGAAGGGACCCCTTCTCCCTGAATTCCTAGCTTTCTGATCTCTGCCCCAGCTGCACGTACGGAACAGAACCATAGAACAGGCACTGGGCAGGGGGTCATGAGCCTGGCGGCTCAACCCATGCACGTCTGTCGGCAAGTCTCCTCTCTTGGCCTCATCTGGTCGCCTGTACAATGGGGGTGGGCATACCTGCCTTCCCCACTCAGTGAGCCTTTGTGAGCGTAAAGCACAAACATGCCTTTGGAACTTTGTAAACTGTAGAATGCTATGTGAACAACATAAGCAGACACTCTCTGTTGCTTCTGTTACTTGGCTTCACTTCTCCCACGGGGTAGTGAGCTTCATGAGCACTAGCTCTGTTGAGGTCCTATTCACCTCTGTATCCCCCAAACCTTACCCCACCATGCAGGTCCCCCAGCTCCTAAGACAGGACGTGGGGCTAGAACTGTCCCAGGCAGAAAGTTAGTGGGGGCAGAGAAGACCTCAGGCTGGGTATGTGCTAGGGGAATCATAGTGTTCAGTGATGTGTGTTGAATAGGTGAGGCAATAAATGAATCAACACATTAACTACTCGGAATATAAATGAGAGGACAAGTAAATGCACAAACTCAGAGATGGAGGAATGAATGAACCACTGAATGACTCTATGGAGGACAAATGAACTCTAGGAATGCCTGGATCCCAGCCCGCATCAGAATTGAGTATGCCCTCATGTTATCTGAGCCCGAGGGCCAGTATGGGGACAAGAAGACCATGGACTTACCTGAGAAGCTGACTTCTTAGGGCTGAAACTCTCATGTTTAGGGGAGCAGGCAGGGGAGGTGGTGCTGCCAGAGGATGCCGAGCCCTTGCCACTGTCTGTGAACCAGGAAAAGGGCAGGAACGGGGAGCCTCCTGACCGGCTGGACCCCTCCACCGACTCCCTGTGGAGAGAGCACCCTGCATGGGTGTGGGCACCAAGGGAAGGGCCAGGCCCACAGGGAATTATGGGCAGAAGCTGTGGCTGAGGCACAGTGGGTACCTCTCACCTGCTGCCCATGGACAGACGGTTGCTGCCCTTATCCTTCCGGCTCTTGTTAGTAGATGCTCGGCGTAAGGTGACCCTATGGGGAGGAAAGGGGAGAGTGCTGCCCACTGTGCTATCCTGCACCCCAACAGATCCAAGCCTTTGGTTCTGGCCCCTCCTCCACTCAC